CGCCTCCTGGGTTCAGGCAATTCTCCTGCCTCAGCCTCCTGAGTAGCTGGGATTACAGGCACGCGCCACCATGCCCAGCTAATTTTTTGTATTTTTAGTAGAGACGGGGTTTCACCTTGTTGACCAGGATGGTCTCGATCTCTTGACCTCGTGATCCACCCGCCTCGGCCTCCCAAAGTGCTGGGATTACAGGCTTGAGCCACCGCGCCCGGCCTGGCTAATTTTTTTATCTTTTTTTTTGCGGGGGGCTGGGGGGTGTTGCAGCTGTTTTTTATTCAGTAACTCCATGGCGCGCCGCTTGTACAGGGCAAAGGCACACACCTCCCGGATCATGTCCCGCACGGACTTGGTGTGTTTGATCAGATGCCCACGATGGCGGCTGTGCCTGGGCTTGTTCACGTTCTTGGTTACCTTGTGGCCCTTGTCGAGGTCCACGGCAAAAGGATACCGAAGAGCCATGGCTGCTGCTCTCCAATGGCGACCGTTGTGGAAGGAATTTTTGTATCTTTTGCAGAGACAATGTGTCACCCTCTTTCCCAAGCTGGTCTCAAACTCCTGAACTCAAGCAATTAACCTGCCTTGGCCTCCCAAAGTTCTGGGATTACAGGCGAGAGCCACTGCATTCAGCCTTCTTTACTATCTTTAGGAGTTGTTTTCACAGTTTTCTAGGACAGTCATCTGGTAGCTTTGTTTGGGGAGTGAAAAAAAAAAAAGAATTATGGCCACATTCTAATTGAGGGCATAAAAATTAAGAGATAAACAGTATAGACAGATATGAAATGATGTTATAGCTATGCCAGCATGCTAAGCCAGGTGTATTTCACAGGGGTACGGGTTAATTCTAAAACTGCTGTACGTGTGTATGGGGATTGACATAACGAGTAAATGGATGCAAGTGGTGGGAGCTCAGTTTCTTACTCTAGAAGGAGAAGAAAAGTTAAGGATAAGTGGGATTGCAGGAACAAACCATATGGTAGTGGATTAGAATCAAAGATTGGTGTGAACTTGTGTTTAGCTAAATGGAGATACAAATGGATAGGTATAGAAATAATTATAGATAGGTGTGGGTACATACATGTGTTAGCATAATTAAACATTTTTTCTAGCTCTGCTGAACAGGAGTAGAATAGAAAGGGATATGCCCCACATCCAGATTTTGCTTTTAATGCCATTCTCCAATTAAAGGAACCAGTTATTCCTGGAGAAAGGGCTGCTTCTAGGATGAAACCAAATATACAGAAATGAGCCTGAACATCAGTGTGCCTTAAAGTAAGGGGGTGCTTAAAGAAGCCCATAATGATGGGGTAGAGGGACACAAAAGCTAGCCTGAAAGAGCTCCCAGTGGTCAAAGCTGGAATAGTTTGAGGAAAAAAATAACATGGTATTGAATTACCAAAATGTAAAATATTTATGTCTCTATACCAATATGTAAATATGTGGTTTAATGAAGAGAATGGTGACAAGCCTCTCTTAGAAAAGAATTTCAAGGGCCGGGCGCGGTGGCTCAGCCTGTAATCCCAGCACTTTGGGAGGCCGAGGCGGGTGGATCACGAGGTCAAGAGCTCGAGACCATCCTGGTCAACATGGTGAAACCCCGTCTCTACTAAAACTACAAAAAATGAGCTGGGCATGGTGGCGCGTGCCTGTAATCCCAGCTACTCAGGAGGCTGAGGCAGGAGAATTGCCTGAACCCAGGAGGCGGAGGTTGCGGTGAGCCGAGATCGTGCCATTGCACTCCAGCCTGGGTAACGAGCGAAACTCCGTCTCAAAAAAAAAAAAAAAGAAAAGAAAAAGAAAAGAGAATTTCAAATAATTTATGTAAATGTTCTCCCCATTTTTCAAACAAGTGAGCCTGAACAATGGGCATTCTGTAAATAATATACACAGAGGATACCCCAACTGGCTCTGTGGAAACATGTATAAAAGATACCTCACCCTTCTGCAAGGTCTGAGAAAGGGAAACACTGAATTTTATTAGGAAAATAAGGCTATTGCTACTAGAATTTTTTGACATTTGTGAAGAATCAGACTGGAGGGGTATTGTTTTGAACTATGAATTAGCAAATGAATTTGAGTCTGCTCTGTTGTGAAAGTTGATAATACTTAACCCGACTGGATTGTCCCTGGCAGAATATTTCCTGGAAGACTGCATTCAGATGACCCACTTTGTTCCTCCACCAAAAGACAAGAAGAAGAAGGATAAGGATGATGATGGTGGTGAGGATGATGATGTAAGTGAATTTCATGAAGAATTTCCACTGTGGGCAAATTGTCAATGCAGAGAAAAAAAAAAATGAGTTAATAAAACATGCAATGTATAAAAATAACATTACAGAAAACTTTTTTACAAACTAACTATAATGTCTGCATTTGGATTCACGGATGTATGTTACTGCAAAAAATTCCAGGTTCAGTGACAGGCTGTTTTCTGTCATGAGTTAAATTGTTTCTGCCATGTAAAGGTCAAAAGAAAACAAGGAAAGAATAAGATATTTAAAGGCCAGGCATGGTTAGAGACAATGCCGTTGTGTAAGGTTTTGCTACAAAGCGTTTTCAGTAAGCACTAGCACCTGGGAAACTGATAGGCAGAATTCTGTGCCCCACCCTAGATCTGATGAATCAGAATCTACATTTTAACAAAATCCCCAGGCGATCCTTACATACAATAAAGTTTAAGAAACAGCAGCTAAGCCAGGCATGGCTCCCACCTGTAATCCCAGCACTTTGGGAGACCAAGGTAGGTGTATCATGTGATCAGGAGTTCAAGACCAGCCTGGCCAAGATGGTGAAACCCCCTTCTCTACTAAATATATACAAAAATTAGCCGGGCAATGTGGTAGTTGCCTGTAATCCCAGCTACTTGGGAGGCCGAGGCAGGAGAATTGCTTGAACCCAGGAGTTGGAGGTTGTAGTGAGCTGAGATTGCGCTGCTGTGCTGCAGCCTGGGCTGCAGAGTAAGACTTGGTCCCAAAAAAAAGAAACAGCAGCTATAGCTTTACTATAAGAGACTGTGGAGATGACATTATCAGGTAGAGTATTAAATGAGGGAGCAATGAGGGATTTCCTAGGAGAAACAGGAAAGAAAAGACTGACTTTCTAGTGCTTGAGAGTTGACATATGATAGTGTGAAAAAGGATTGTTTACCTGGAAATATAGACTGTGACAGCCAGCAATGCAGAATTTGCTAGAAAACCTAAGATATCTTTTTAATCAAAAGATCTGAAGATGTAAATGAACAGTGAATTAGAAAATTTTAGCAGGATAAAGACCAATTATAACAACTTGATTCTAATATAAACTTTCTGGAAACTGCCACGTTATTTCAGAAAGAGAAATATAGTTAGTAGAATGCATCATGAGAGGTTTCAGAGTCAAATTTAAAAGTTTGTGCATGAGCTTTAGTCCTGTCCTGTGAGAAATAGTAGTTAGTAGAAAAATTCAGTATATTGATGTAAGCGCTACATTTTTTGGAAATTAAATTTCTTCTGTATACTGTAGTGTGTGAGTGGTCAACTAGAATGACATTATGAGTCATTTAAATATGAAGAACAAATCTAGAAGACTTACCTCATGAGCTGTAGTAACTGAGACAATCCAAAATATGTGTTTCTATTTTTTACAGGCAAATTGCAACTTGATCTGTGGTGATGAATATGGTCCAGAAACAAGGTTGAGCATGTCTCAATTGAATGAAAAGGAAACTCCTTTTGAACTAATTGAATCTCTACTTAAGTACATTGAAACCCTTAATGTTCCTGGAGCTGTGTTGGTGTTTTTGCCTGGCTGGAATTTGATTTATACTATGCAGAAGCATTTGGAAATGAATCCACATTTTGGTATGAGTCTTTGAATTCTCACATATTTGAGAGTGAAAATGAATGTTTTTCTAGTGCCTCAGCCAGAATGTGAAAAAGGAACAGAAAATTTTGTATTGTCTCTACTTTTGAATAAGAATATGTATAATAGACAGATGTTTTAAACCAGCTCCTATTTTTAGTCCCTAATTGTTCTGTATTATTATAGGAAGCCATCGGTATCAGATTTTACCACTGCATTCTCAGATTCCTCGAGAGGAACAGCGCAAAGTGTTTGATCCAGTACCAGTTGGAGTAACCAAGGTAAATATTAAACTTTACAGTGGCGGGATTGGAAGTGATGTAGTTATTAAACAAATGTTACAGGCCTTAAAAGAGCTCCCCCAAAAATTGTAAGCCAAAGTGAGGAATAATAAAGTCTTCACTTTCTGAGCTTAGTAGATTGTTCATTAATCAGCCAATGGGCAAGTGATGATTTTTTAGGGCTTCTGTAATTTACTTGTCATTTGTTACATACATACATATATAAGCAAATCAGCCATGACAAGTACATAAGAATATTTCCTGGAGTGTAATTTTTCTTTTTTTACAGGTTATTTTGTCTACAAATATTGCTGAAACAAGCATTACCATAAATGATGTTGTCTATGTCATTGACTCCTGCAAGTAAGTTACCAAGAAATCTATTTGCCTGTTCCAGTGTTATCAACTAGAAACGTCTTACCTGTTAACAGAATCGAAAACACCTTATGTAAACTCCTGTGTTCTTGTATCTCCAGAATTATTATGCCTCTATATAGGGTTATAGATAATTGATAATTATGAGTAATTATTTGTGTTGATTACTGCAAATCAGTTATGGTAGAAAGCAACAAAGCTCGAAACTAACTGATTGCTTCTCATTGCTCTTGTCTGTCTGCTGGTGTTTCGCTCATTTCCTATTGGGTGTTTCCATTGATCACTGCCATAGTGTAGCATGTGTTTGGTGAATAATGATAACCAGTGTTTAGCACATGACAAATATCCCACCTTGAAGGACACTCCTTTAAGGATTAAAATTCTCATTTTGGTATGAGATGAACTTGGAAAATATACCAGGAGATATTACGTGTAGATACAGGAATTACGTGGTAATTTGATACTTTGGACAAAAAAGGACAAAAAAGTTGAAACTTCGTTATATTTGGCCAACTTGTGCTCCATGTCTTCTCCATATAAACCTTTAGCCTGTCCTGACAATGAAAACAATTTGCTGCCAATGTCCATTTTAGGAAATGATGAATAGCATTCTGTGCCAATCTCAGTAGTTCAGTGACTGCAGTCTCTTTATGTAATATTGAAGGAATCTGAGGTTGCTTGGGGGTTCAGAAGGACCACACAGGCATCACTAAATATAGATATCCTAAAAGTTAGTTACACTTAACTTTGAAATAGAGATGGCCTGAATAATTACCTCTTTCGTTATGTGCCATATTCCATTGAAATGCTTTGCACTTGTTAATGTTTACCAAATACAAATTCTATAAGGTAGGTAATGGTATGCTCATTATCAGATGAGGCATGGAAAGTTGAGCCAAGGCAGTTCAGCTGGTAAGTGGCATGTGGATGTTACATTGCCTTTTAGTAGGTTAGAAGTGTGCAAATTGCTGATTCTTACTTGTGCCATTCATGAATAGGTATCACAAGTATATATGGCTTTCACTACATAGTGGAAAGCATTTGCTGTTTAGTGGATATATAATAGTTATTGGTGATACATATGAGTCTTAGCGTTAACCACTTTTTCTCATGTAGGCAGAAAGTGAAACTCTTCACTGCTCACAACAATATGACCAACTATGCTACAGTATGGGCATCAAAAACAAACCTTGAGCAGCGGAAAGGGCGAGCTGGCCGAGTACGGCCTGGATTCTGCTTTCACCTCTGCAGCCGAGCTCGTTTTGAGAGGTAAAACCAATTCTTGGCATTTAGTAAGGAATTTTTGTTCTGTTCTCTTAGGGAGACCTGCCAGTTTAAGCTGGCTGATGTAAATCTTCCCAGTCATGTTGGGATCAGGTATATATGTTCCTTAAAAATCTTCATTTATAGAGAATAAGCCTGAATTAGAAATAGAGAGACCTAGATTTTAATATTACTTGTGCCTGATACATTGCATAACACTAAGTAGTTACTCCTTAGGGGCCTGCATTTCCCCCATTCTATAAAATGTTAGATTACTTAGACTCTTATTACCTCAGATGTAAAAGGAATATGGTAAATAATGCCTAACCCATATGATTGGTATCAAAGAATTAAATGAGTTAGTAGTGTAGAATACTTTGAACATTGGGACATCATGATCTCCCAATAAACATTTCCTATTGTTAATTTATACAGGTCATGTCTGTTTTCTGAAATGCTTGGGACCAGAAGTGGTTTTAAGATTTTTGATTGTTTTTTTAATACTTGCATTGAATTTACCAGTTGGGCATTCCAAATCTGAAAATAGGAAATCCAAAATGCCTTAATGAGCATTTCTTTTAAGTGTCATGTCAGCACTTAAAAAGTTTTAGATTTAGTTAGATCATAAGAGCCTTTCTAGCAGCACTAAAATTCAGCTAGGAAGATGGGGAGGTTGTAGAGAAACGTTAGTATGAGTTATCCTGCCAAAAGTCTTACTGTTGTTTTTTAACCCATGTTTGTCAACAGGCAAGGCCTGTAGAGACCATGGGTAGGGCTAATAACATTAGAGATTTTGTATAATTTTTTCATTTTTCTTCATTTCTCAGCTGAAAAGGCCATCGATCTATGATTACAAGTCAGAAACCATTATGCAACCAGGTTAAATTTTGTCAACAGTGTGTATAGTGAATGATAAAAGGTTCAGTGGTAATTGTAAAATAAAAGAATGAGGAAAGGGCAGCTCTATATCCCTGGTGACCTTGCTACAAAGAGTTTATTAAACTAACATCTGGATGGTTATTACATGCTTATTTTCTCTTAGGCTTGAAACCCACATGACACCAGAGATGTTCCGCACACCATTACATGAAATTGCTCTTAGCATAAAACTTCTGCGTCTAGGAGGAATTGGCCAGTTTCTGGCCAAAGCAATTGAACCTCCCCCTTTGGATGCTGTCATCGAAGCAGAACATACTCTTAGAGGTACTTAGAAATACAAACCTACTTAATACAAATATTAATCATATTATCTGTCTTATCCTGGCAGGTAACACTTAAGAAATGAATCAAGATTAATATGTAGTGTAGTCAGCAAGACTATGATAATAATTGTAAGGCTTCCAGTCTTACCTTAGGTTCTTAGTGTAGTCACTATTCTGATGAGCAATGAGGTTGGGGAGAAAGGGACAATGTGAGTCTTACTTAAAAAAAAAAAATTTTTTTTTAAGGGATGATATCTCTTAACTACGTACTAAAGATCAGAACGTGACTTGAACTCATGATACCCACCTTTTTTTTTTTTTTTTTTTTTTTTTTTTT